CACTGACCCCTCACAGCCCCGGACACACTGACCCCTCACAGCCCCGGACACACTGACCCCCCACAGCCCCGGACACACTGACCCCTCACAGCCCCGGACTCACTGACCCCTCACAGCCCTGGACACCAGGGTTGAGCTGTGCATGATCAAGAGAGCAGTGAGAGATCCACACTGGGATTCTGTGGCCGGTATCCGGTATCCCTACCGTTGAAGCGGTGCAGCAAGGCCTCCATGATCGCGGTGAGGGGCAGGGCCAGCAGCGCCAGCACGAACACCAGGTTGAAGTTCAGGAAGCCGTTCACGAAGTAGTAATGCCAGGGCTCTGTGCCTGCAAGAACACACACAGAGCAGACCTTGACTTTCCTGCAGCTGCTCCCTGACCTGCTGCACCGGGACCGAGGCTGCTCAAGCGCGAACACTCAGAGGTCACGGCAAACAACCGTAGTTTGGGAAGAAAAACACAAGAGCAATCTGACTCTTCAGCAGCTCTCCCACACAGCCTGCTGACGCTGCCCTTGTGCCTCACACAGGGCCTGACACGGACGATACTAACGGGCATCATGGGATATGTCACGAGGAAAAAAAGATGCCTGTACTCGTCTCCAACAAGAAGAACAGTCCTCAGGGAATTCATAGCAAACAGCCAGGGGAGACAGATGGGGTTCTCACTCCAGCTGCAGGGTAACAGGCTCAAGATTGGGGTACCATCGCTCCCTGTTCCCCAAAGTCAATCCCAAACCTTAAAACTCTCGTTCTCCAAATTCCAAGGGGCCACACCCAGCAGACAGGGAGTCAGACTGCGGATCAACAAGTTTTTTTCACCATCCGGCTTTTATAGGAGAGACTGGGAGGTGAACCCGAGACCCCCACGCTGAGCTGACTGTGTCTCCCACAGTCACCACACTCATCCTACACAGAATCTGGAGGAGATGGAGAAACTGCAGGACGAGGTCGCTGCAGAAACCCACCACTGCTCAGGCTCCTCTGCTCAGTACAGTCAGCTGCAGGTACTGTAGGGCGGACTGGGGCAGAGACGGGAAGCCCTGCGCTGCCCTCTTGTGGCTGTGTCTCAGAATTACAGCTCGACGCTGATATTTTGCGGTCGATCACTATAGCCTCCGTCCTGCCCTCCTGTGGCCATTCCCTCTAATTACAGTTTTCCGTGCCCCGTGGGGAAAAGGAGTCCTGCAGCAGGCTGGTAGAGTTATTTATAATAGTTCCGTCATGGCAAACGTCTAAAGAACTCGAAAACAGGAACAGAAATAAAGCCCTCACCGTATAGGTCGGGCCCATGGGGGGTGAAGACGTTGTAGAGGACGATGTTGAGAGGGGCGATCACCAGCTTGCCGTAGTAGTGACTGTCCAGCACCACCACAGGGACCTGAGCAGAGAGGAGAGCGCGCTGTCTGACACGAGAGGAGGGGGCGGCTTCGCCGGAGCAGCGGTACAAGGCTACAGCGCGGGACAGCGCCCCCCCCGGCCGGGCAGCGAGCTCCTGCCCTGTACGCAGGTCCAGCGGCCTTACCAGGAGCAGCGCCAGGGCCAGCAGCGTCCAGGAGAGGAAGCTCCTCCACCTCCTGCGCAGCAGCAGCAGGTCGAAGGCGATGGGGAGCCTGGGGGGGAAACAGGAGGGACCGGGGTCAAAGGTTGCGGCCGGGGGGAGCTCCTTCTGTCCAGTCGGTGTGCCCAGCCCAGCGAGGGCAGCTCTCTCTCGGGGCCCACCCCACACGGCCAGGAGGGGGGCTCCAGACTCCCCCAACCCCCTCTTGCCTGCCACCCTCGATGTGCTCAAGCCCAGACTGCTGCAGTGTTTTTAACTTTTTGCTGTGGGCGAACTGATCGTCTTCAATAAGAAAGAATGTGCCAGCAGCCATGTCACCCTGCAGCTCCCAGCTGGCAGCTCACTGGAGCCCAGCAGTGAGAGCCTGGCCAGTACCTGGAGGGGAGACTCCTGGGAGAGCTGAGGCTGCTGCTGGAAGAGGTGTTAGTGGGTCAGTAGGGGTCGCTCACCCTGCAGTCTGTGTGGGTCCTAATGCCCCAGTATAGTGACTGGGACACTACACTGTAAACAGGCTCCATCCTTTGGATGAGACGTAAAACTGAGGTCCTGACTCTCTGTGGTCATTAAAAATCCCAGGGTGTTTCTCGAAAAGAGTAGGGGTGTTACCCCAGTGTCCTGGCCAAATTTCCCCCCTGGCCTTTACCAGTCATGGCCTCCTAATAATCCCCGTCTCTGAACTGGCCTCATCACTCTGCTCTCCTCCCCACTGAGAGCTGGTGTGTGGGGAGCGGACTGGAGCATCATCCAGGTGGGGGTACACACTGGTGGGGGTGGAGGGGATCCCCATGACCTGTAAAGAGCTCTGAGTGGAGTGTCCAGAAAAGCACGCTATAAGAGTAAGGAGTTATTATTAAAACGTTCCACACGGAATTTGTGATGAGCAGCCAGGGGAGACAGCTGGGGTTCTCACTCCTGCCTGTGTGTGTGTCCATGTGCTTCTTGGGAGACCCAGTCTGGCCCCCCCAGCGACAGTGCCAGTGCAGGCCGGTACACTCACCCCAGCAGGGCACTGAAGGGCCACCCCACGAGGGCCCCGGCGGCCACCCCCAGCACGGCCACCCCCGGCCGGTCCTGGAACCAGCCTGTCATGGCCACCAGGGTGCAGTACATGCAGAAGCTGCTCGGCAGGTAGGCTGGGGACACAGAGACCAGACAAGAGCGCACAGGTCAGCCTGCAGCTCAGCATCCAGACAGAGAGAGGAAAGAGGCAACGATTCCGGCACATTTCTGAAAAACACGACCTGAAAGCAGGGCGTCCTGGCAGAGAGAGAGAGAGCCAGGACAGCTCCCCCACAGGATCTCGTGATGACTCTGAACACTGGGCACCGGCTAACTCGGGTTTAGCTCAGGGAGCTGAGCAGCACAAAGCTTTGCGGGTCAAAGAGCAAAAAATAAACCAGGATGAGCTCCCGAGGACGACAGATACTGCCGTGTTTGTGAGGGCTCGGTTTCGTGCCGGGTGTTGGCCACGGGCTGGCTGACCAGCTTCAGCGCTGGGGGCATCGGCCCGGCCCACCCCCACCCTCCCCCCAGACGAGACCAGCCACGCCCTACCTGCGGCCGAGCAGAACATCCCCGCGCTCAGCACCAGAAACGCCAGCATGAGGCGGCCCACGTGGAGCCCGAACTTCTTGCACACGGCCCTGCGGCACACAGAACACAGGGCACAGGGTGAGGGCCTGCAGGGGCAGGGCAGAGGGCAGCTGCTCGCCCAGGGGCCTGACCAACGTGCCGCGTCCCCGTGGAGGCCTTCAAGACCAACAGCGAAATACACGTCAAAGGACACAAGAGAACCCAAGAAGAAGAGATAAGATCACTTTATTGGCCCTATACAATTTCTTGCGTTAAGAATTTGTCTTTTCACAGACCCCAGCTTGCTCTCCATGAGAGACACACAGACGGAGAGAGAAGCTTGGGGTCAGAGCGCAGGGGCAGCCATTTATACAGCGCCCCTGGAGCAGCTGGGGTTAAGGGCCTCGCTCAGGGGCCCAAAATAGCTTCTTCCTCAGAGCCGTCAAGCTGGTGACGCCCCCACACCCTCCCATCATACTCTGATCTCTCCTCACTTCTTCCTGTACCCACAATGACTGTACTCCTACACCACTACATACACCACAACTCAATGTACTGTAAGCTGAAATTGTGCTTAAAACTGTACTAGTTGAGTTGTACTATTTATTAACTCTAACCCTATTATTTTTGCACTGTTCCCCGAACTACTTTTGCACTGTTTTTGTCCTGTTCGTATACTTTTCTCCGTTTGCATATTTGCAGTTTTTGACGATTTTGCACTGGCACCATACTGTTGTTTACATTGTCATTGTTATTGTGTTACTGTCTATTGTCTTGTCTTCTGTTCTATTTATATACTGCACCCGAGAGACTAATGAGAAACACTTTTCGCTTTACTTTGCACTCCTGTAAGTATAATGACAAATAAAGTTTAATTGAATTGAAATATTGTTTTTGATTTCGAGACAGGCTTGCTAACAAATACTACTTACTTGTTAACTCATGTTTGAACATTTTTGCTGTGAAATGTCTGCTGCACAACCTGTACATATTCGCTCGTCCATCCCATCACATCATTCAGTGCAGGGACTAGTGAGCAGGAAGGGCCGCCTCTTGTCACAATTCTCACAAACCGTGGTGAGCTTTCCGACAACATGGTGACTCACAACACTCTCGCAAAGCTTACGATTTTGCAATTGATTTGAAATTGGTCATTTATGATTTGTGGTTTATTTTGTGACCGAGATTGGAGAACCGGTCTGAGAAACTGGGACTGCAGTTCCCTTGAAGACCCAGCTGGGATCAACTCGCTGCCGGGCACCAGCCGGACCAGCTCGTGTGTGACCATTCCTGTGTTCAGTGGTGTAGTGGGGGGGTGTGACGGGGGTCCTCACTGACTTGTAGAAGTAGAGCTCACAGACGCAGCAGGCGAAGGCCAGCAGGCAGCGCAGGAAGTAGAAGACCAGGACCTGCGAAGGGAGCAGAGAGGACTGTCAGAGGGAGGCAGGGGAGGGGGAGTCTCTGGAGCCGGAGCCCGGCCTCTCCCGAGACCCGACCTGCAGGGGGCGGCGGATCCGTCGGGAACAGCTGGGAGGGGGATCTGGGCTCCAGAGCGAGAGACACCGCGAGGGCCACAGCAAGGGGGAGAGCCTGAGCTCCTGGTGCAACACGGTGTCCTCTCTGCTGCCCTGTGAGCCACTCACCCTGTCAGCCTGCAGGGGGCGCTTCCCTGTTGGTCTATATGGGCCTCTCACCCTGTGGGCCTGCAGGGGGCGCTCACCTGTTGGTCTATATGGGCCTCTCACCCTGT